TAACAGCTAAAGTAAAGAGTGACTGTGCATTTTCAACAGGCAAATCACAGCCCTCTCACCAGACCTACAGATGTGGTGAGACAGTGGCTACAGAGAGTTGGATGAAACCTAAAATTAAACATTATAAAGGTGCCACAGCCAACTATAAACACCGTCCACCAGTGTTAGCATGGCTTCATTACCACTACTGTTCCCAAGCAGTGGCAGAGGCCAAATCTTTTTAATTAAGGCCACTGGCTTCCTAAAATCCATTTGTCTTCCTCAGTAACCCTAAATACTTAATATGCAATTGGGTTGGTTTAGTAGAAAAAATATTTTTTATCTGCAGGAGACTGTTTCATAAATTCAGGTATTTAGGCAGAACAGATTTCAGAGAGATGCTCCTGCAGTAGGGGATCCTTTGATCTGGAAAGAGATTGTTATAGTGTGCTGAAGGTATCAGTGAAGCCATTTCTTTTAAAAGTGTGAAGATTAAATGTGTGCCACTATTGTGCTGGCCTGCTTCATATTTTTCTGCATAATCTCCTTAGGAAATAAAGAGTGCAATTTTGAACATGTTTACTCCTTTGCATAACATACTTATTTTGTTTAGTGTTATTGAATTGTATGTCATGTTTTTAATCTTTTTAATGTACATAACATTTCAGTGTTTTTCTGTCATTGTTATTGTTATTATCATTACTGTAAACCCACCTTTTGGAAAATATTCAAGGAACTTACATAACAGCCCTACAGTAAAATACAGAATATATGTTTAAAACATAGTAATTGAAAAGCAGCAGTCCATAACACCTTTAAAAGGAGTTTATTTCTGTTTTTTAAAAATGTATCTCATCATTCAACTTTGCACAGCAACTCCAAGCTGACTCATGATCATAAATGAATAATACACAGGCAGCACAATAACTGCTAGACAACATCTAGATTTTTTTGAGACCCGGCTCCAACCTCTAAAACTTACTCCAAGGCCAACACCACTCTCAGTCCATTTTTGCATTCAGGCATTGGTTCAGTACCTGGACTCAGAGAATCTCCAGAGTACCTCTTCTAGTATTTTATCTAGATATAAAATAGCATGGGGATATGACAAAAGACTGTAGGACTCCATAGGTCAGCGATCAGTCTCCTAGCACTGATGTCTAGCACCACAAAACACCTTAAAATGGTGCTTCCCAACTCAACCCTTTCAGATAGCGTAGATACATAACCAGTTTGATAGTGTTGACAACTGTGAAGAGGTTCAACAGAACCATGAGATGCACATCTTTTTCAGTTCCTGCTGTAAGCTATTCACCAGGATGCCAAAGGCTGTCACTCTCTCAGTCCAAAATTGCATGGGTTTTAATGCTATTAAATATTTAATTCTTGTAAAAAGGTCTACAAACAATAAAACCAAAAAAAAAAAAAAACTAGAGTCAGATTCAGCAGGGATGCTATTCTACAATTTTGGTGCCACCACAAAAAAGCCATGTTTCCAATGTCTACCCAACTATTCTCATATAGACACAGACATATAGACAAGAGCAGAGCTTCTAATGTTGACTTGATTGTATTTATCAATATTCCGTCCCCACATCTTTTCAGCATTTTTAGAGGAATTGGCCCCCTGTCTTTTTGTGTATGGTCTGTTCAGGTGACATTTCTTCCTACTAAGCTTCTCTTAATCAGATTTCAACTTGGCTCTGATTTATATAGCACATCAGAAGTCATAAGAATATTTCAGTTTCATGGTGGCTATGGACCCAGCACAGTGTCATAACAAGGAAATAAATATTAATGCTGAGGAAATAACGTTCTTTAAATAGCTACATTTTCAATTGTAGGAGAATGAATGTGGCGGGGGGTTATAAAAAATCCTGAAAGTGGCACACTTTGGTGTCCTATATCAGTCAAGAAAATAATTGGTGAACTTTTCAATTACTACTTATATTCAGGGTTGGAATCTAGCTAAAAATACTGTCCTGATTGATAAGATTTGCTAAGATCATGACCACTTTGCATATCACAGTGACAATTCCTGGGTTGCCTAACTGAGTAATTGTGCAAATCAGCAGAGTACATGAGCCCTGAGTTCATCCCTGGATTGATTCATGACATGCAAACCCAGAAACTCTGGGTTGTTAATAAGTTAAACAACCCAGAGTTAGCCTAACAATAAACTGCAGGCAATGGGTAGATTAAATTCAAATTGTTTAACCCATAACCCAGGGTGCCAGGTTTGCATATCACAGGAACACAGGAACTAGGCATTTCTGGATTGTTAACTGGAAGAAATAAGTGAACTTCTTGTTTTGCTTATCCCATGTAATTGCTCCATTGAACCAGCCAGGAAGTGCCACTGTAGTGTACAAATCAGGTTAGGACCTGAAGAACTGTGATTGTACACATGAGTATTCTCCAACCTGTACATTCCAGATGTGCCCCCCCCCATGACCATGTTGGCTATATCTAGTTCAACACATCAGGAGAGCACAGATGGAAAAGGGTGCACTGTACAGATATTTGGTGATGGATTGTTACTAACAACCTGTCAGAACTATCCCTGTTTATCAGAATCTCAGAAACATTGACAAGTGGCATAGTTCTGCCTGATACAGAGTGTGACCAACATAAAATTAATGCCATAGTAACTTATCAGAGCCCTTGGGGAACATCAGAGAGCGTAGATATTCAGTATAGAACTTAAACCACCGGTATTCACAGCTTCTGCTATCAAGATGGCAGTTGTTTAATGTAAATAGTTGTTTTATATTAATTTGTCAAAAAGTCAGGATTTGGTTTTCTGGATTCCCTCTAAGAGAAACAGAGCAGGGAGAATTGGGCCACATTGCTGAATATGGCTTCCTTTACCCTCACTAAATCACAACTAGAATCCCTTCCTAAAGCCAAGGTATAAGGATTCACACCAACAGTAATATACGTGTCTTGTTGCTTCTCAGCCATTGCCTTATCTAAGGATTGGAGATACTGCTGTGTGGAGTGTAATGGACACAGCATAATACAGACTCTACAAACTAGAGTTGCACACTTTATTCCTCAGGGAAAATGGTTACATTGGTACAGTTCCATGGAGGAAGCTGGATGGAGGAAGCATATGCCTCATGCAGTTGTGGAATTTAGAGCATGCAAACTAAGTGGTATGATTAAAATGCTCAGAAACATGCACAGAGCAATTTCACACCAACTGTTCTGTACATGACATAAGGCACACAGTGTTACATTTTGCAACAGCTTCCACGATACCAGGGGAACCTATGGAATAAGCACTCATTGAGGCTATGTATGCTCTACTTCCAAGTCTGTGCTCAAAAGACCTGAATTCTACAAGAAGTTTCTGGCACAAATTCTGGGAAATTGGGAAAGAAGTTGGTTTTCTTACTTTGCATAATTCTGCTATTGCTAAGCAGGATGGAGGCAAAGAGACTTTGCATGGCATGGCCATTCTGACCCCAGAGTAAATCTAATTCACCCATCTTTCTGATATCTGAGATTTTACCAACCACCTTTTAAGTCAACCTTCATATGTGTAAGAAGTTAATATTAGTTTTTAAAAATGAAACCTTGAGATGCTCAGCAAAAATCAGTTCCTAGTGCTTCATTCTGCACTATTTCTATGCTTCCGGTCAAATGCACACAGCCCTGGACTTAATCTACTGCATGATTAGTTCAAACTTGAAATTAAAAATCTACTGGTGCCCCAATTTTACACCCAGTGCCTGCTCTTCCTTCCCATTTCCTTGCCTTTATTTGACCCCCTTCCACCTTCCCCACTTCCCCTAGTTGTTGGTTAAGCATTTAAAAAGCATTATTTCTATAATTTTAGAACCAAGCATTCATAAAATACAATCACACATTTGTTAAAATGCTACTAATGAATGGAAATGGATAGTGATAAACATGTTTTGCTGAGATGGAGGAAAAGCAATCCACAACAGCCATTGCTGTTGAAAAGTGCCATAGCAAGCCTGGCACTCACATTTTGGCAACTTCCTTCTGCACTTAGCAAACAGTAAAAACATCCGTATTACTGCTAAATCTTCATTTGCTACAGAGCAAATTGCAGCAAAGTGACCATAGAAGTCAGATAGTTCAGTAGTAAGCATTAGCCTGCCAGGGGTGTGTTGGGTTTGAATGCTGATTAATCCTCTTTCAGAACATGGGCATGTTTCTTTGGAAAGCAAAGAGGTGAGTAGATGCTGTGCATCAGAAATCAGCTTGCTGTGTAACATGCAATGTGTTCTTAGCAGGAATTTGAACTATTATGACCAACATAGAACTTGATTATGGTAATGCACGAGTTGTTTCTCTAGCTGAGTCCTGAGGAAGATTATCTTGACACACTTGCAGCTATTGCTTGTTTTCACCAAGGATACAAGAGTTTGGGTTGGGAAGACTGAGCTGAGGTTGAGTGAGAACTATTCACTGAAGTGAGTCTCCTGCTTCAGGATTTGCCCAACCTCAGCACATCATGATGGCATTTTTGTGTCCTCTTTCCTAGGATTGCATTAGTTTTCTACCACAGGATCACTGCATATTATCTTCAAATAGGCTCCTTCCTGTTCATCTCTTTATTGCTCTTATTTAGAAAGAGTAATAAAATGGACTAGGCAGCCTGTAAATGACACAGATACCTCAAATAGCCTGGTATATGCCCAACTTACTTCCATTTTTACTTGGAAGTAAGTCCAATTGTGTTCAGTAAAACTTACTTTCTGCTAACTGCACCTTGTGTTTCAGCTTTTGCCATCTTACAAAGGGTAGTTCTGTCTGGTTCTGGGAGGGTCAAGGGGATGAAGAGATGGGAAAAGGAGTCTTGGTTCCCAAGGTATAACCAATGTGCATGACCATTTTCAGAGAAGCTTCTGGAAGAAAACAGAACATCCACTTTGATCCAGCTAGTACCAAATCTTGTGTGTGCATGTGTTAATAATCCATAGTTTTGTCATCATCATTCCCTTACTCTGTCTCCATTTTCTTTTCTCCTTCCTGTCCCCCGTCAGTTGAGGGTTAAGGACTCTGTTGACCACGTAAGTACCATTTGTAAGTGTGTGTGTTTGGATCAGAAGGGTCTGAGGATCATCTTGTGAAATCTGTGTGCATAGTGCTGTCAAAACATCCCCGTCAATCCTCAAATGGTTCTGGAGAGTTGCTTTGCGAAGCTTTCACCAGCCGCAAATCCTGAGCAAATTGGCATTTAGATTGCTGCTAAATGCAGAAAAGCAATTGACATTTTCCATAATCTTTATTTCCAGCTTGTTGCAATGCAATTTCAGGCAGATGCAGGGGGAGCAGCCCACTCTCTACAGTCCCTAGCTCGTTACATGGCAGAGTCAGATCTATAATCTTTAAACCTCATTGATCCCAGTCATGAAAAACGCCCTGCTTTCTCAGCTGTGACCTTTGGTTGAAACAGAGGCTATAATAAGAAAACAATCACATTCAAACAGTTAAATTCATTTTTTCCAAGTAATTTTAGAATATAAATTTGGAGGAACAAGCTTGAAAATTACCTTTGGAAAGTGAGTGATTCAATTATATACCTTACTGTGGCTTCTTTTTTCTCTTAGAAGTTTTTGCTTAAGGGGTTTGCTGTGACAGCCCTATGCTATTGGTTGGGTACCTCTCTCCTTTCCCCATCCTCCTTCTACCTCTCCTCTATCTTCCCTTGCTTTATCCCAGCGGCATGCTCTTCCCTATGTGAAAACTTCCCCCTGTGTAGACTTTAGTGATAAGTACATCTTTTGGGGATGTTTTAGCCTGTGGTGTTGTGTGTGTGAGTATTTTCCTCCATTTCCATTTATTGTCATTGGCTGATTTGGCTCACTCACACAAACTGCAGGGGAGAAACAGGAGTCTGATTTGTACTCTGATTTGGGTGTCATACTGACTGGTGTCTTTTAATCTACCTTGTTAATTGGGCTTGCCAATAAAAACAATGAAAGTATCATTTGGGTTTGATGGGGGTGAAACCTGGGCAATCAAACAGGAAGCCCAGTACACAGTTCTAAAGTGATTGGGGAAATGCTAACAGTTCTGTGGCAGCTAATGAAACAACCCTAACAACCCAAGGAAGAAATCTTTCCAATCCGTCATTGCACAAACTACTTCAAGGTTATGATTTATATCACATTTCTATGTTGAATGGTCATTTCCACCAGCAAGTTCCCGTTACACAGAATTCATGACTGACATTCTAGTGGAATGCCACTAAAGGTTGTTGTCAAACAGACATTCTCCAGGGATTCCTGGGCAATGGACCTAATTTGCCTATAGGATGGAAAAGGTATATGAGACCATGCAAAGTCTTAGACCTGGCTTTCATCAAATGTTACTTGCCCCTGCTTTCAGAGATGTGCGAAGATGATTGAGGAGGCAAAAGTGGCACCTCCTATCCTTCAGTCTTTGTTTTTGAAAGAGTATTCTGTCGCCCTCCATTATTTTTAGTTATCTCTGCTGTCTGTGGTATGAGCAGTTACATTTTGAAGGAACAAGGCCCTCGTGAATGACCTTGAATGAACATGTTATGGCAAATGGTTCCCAGATCTACCAACTATGATCCATTGGCAAAAGTGAAATCAGTTGCAGACCTCTGTTCTGTCATACTGCTGTTAACCCTCCTTGTTAGTTCTGAGAGAAGTGCTGCTACTTTCTTGTAATGTGGGGCTACATGCATGAGCGAAAGACAAGACCAGTGCTTGTTGTCTTTTGCTCATATATCTACGGTTACCTGGCAGCACTGTGAACAAAGCAGAACTGAATCATGCCTCAGTTGTTTGTTTCGGCAACAGCAGTCCTACCTGCCAGGCATTGCAAAAATCTTGTGCTTGTTTGTGGTCATTTGATTTGAAGAACCTGTTACATTTGATCCCACCTTTCGATTAAAAATTTCATCCATAAGTGGCTCACACCAATTAAAATTCAGTACACAGTGCTGCCAGAAGGCAATTTGTTAAGTGAAAATAAGACACAGACCCTTCCTGGACTCAGGCTTACAAGATATGCAGAGGAAGAAAAGTGGAGGAAAAAGAGGTAGAAGAACAGCTTGTTTTAGAATGGTATGTGGTGTGTTGCCAATGAGCCAACTGCAGTCAGGCTGCTCTCTTCTTGCTGGTATATTTACTCAGCAGCTCCTGATCCTCAGACTGGTGACAAGTTCAGTTGTAGAGTTAGATAAAGTTGTTCTTCCTCTCCTGCTTTGAACAGCTGTGTTGTGCTGGCTCCATATCTGCTGCTGTTGAAGGGGTAGAGTTGGTTGTCCATAATAATATGCTAGGCAATTGTCTAGAATTCAGAGTACAGCTAACTACCATCACAGTGCAGTGCTAGTTAAAATCGTGGAATTTCTCAAGGTGCTCTAGATATGCCATTAAACTTCTCCATTTCTATCCATATTAGAAGAACATTAGGTGCATTCTTTTGTGTGATATAAGATGATGTGGTACTTTATGAAATATTCTGGTAAAGACAGTTGCAAGGGAAGTACAACTAAAGTACTGTATGGGCAAAAGTAACTTGACCTATTTCACAAAGGTCAGCAAACTTCCCAGTTTCTGGCATCAACAGGGTAGCCTCAAGTGATCAGACACATATTTTCAAATGCAGAGGATAGTTTCACTTCTGGTCAGTGATGAGCACATAGCTTTAAGAGGTGGAAGGCCTTGGATCCAAAATAATCTCTTAAACTGGTTTCCTCCTTGTGTGATTTGAAACTAAACTAGTCTTTCACAAATAGCGGAGAGATGGGAATGTGTCTATAGTCATTGCTTCAGTACCTGAGGCACTGAGCAGGGGGTTGGAACTGATTCCCTAACTTGCCCCTTCCAGCTGTGCTGTTCTCTGATTCTCAAGAGCTAAAGATCTCTTGTTTCCCACAGGAAACCATCATAGGAGGCCTTTTTCCTGAAACTACCTATTCTATCAACATTGCAGCCTATACTACTAAAGGGGACGGGGCTCGCAGCAAGGCCAAGGTGATAACTACAAGTGAAGCAGGTGAGCCAGTTACACTACAGTGCATCCTTTGTGGGCAAGTCTGTTTGGATATTTTGACCTCCCAAATTATTGATGACCCTGGGGGATAATGGACTGGCAAGCATTTAATCTTCAGGGAGTCAGAAAGATGAAAAGGATTGGCAACTTTGACATTCCCAGGTTTGCAGACTATCTGCTGATGGATTATACCATAGAAGAAATGCCTTGCTACCACTGCATATGCTACAGTTTTCCCACTTAGAGATGATTTCCATGTAGTCTAATTTTCTCTGCCTAATAACAGTCAACCAGATGTCTCTGGAGAATCATAAGCAAAGCAGAAAAGCAATGGCCATTGCCTGTTGATTATCCCAAGCATCTGGATTCAGAGCTAGACTTCTCATGCAAGTAAAACTTCCGTGTAACTATCATGGCTAATAGTTGTCGGCAGTTCCATCTGCTATGAACTGTGAAAATACTACTCTTGAAAGATACATAAGCTAGTAACCAGTGTTACCATTTCTGGTAATATATTCCATAATATAATGAAGGGCTATGTGTCCTGATCACAATTCCAATCCTGAAATTGTCTGCAGTCCTAATATTATATGAGAGAGAGAAAAAAATTGTCCATCCATTGCAGTCACATTAGGATATGTATTTTCCTAGCTAGAGACTAAATGCATGGGCAAAATTTGTCCTGGGTGAATGTAATGCCAAGATCACAAGCTTCTCTTCTCATTCTTGTTCCTTGACAACTTCCTGTGCTACAGAGGGAAGGTGTCAAAGATGTAGAAATGAATGCATCTGGACAGAAGAATATGTTTCTCAACCATGCTCTAAACACTTCTCTAAACAAGAGGCAGCAAACAGATGGAGAGAATGCCTCACAGGGATACACACATAAGTTCACATGGGTCAGTGTGAGAACACAGTTGTCTGGCCTACTCAGGATTTGGAGCTGCAGTCTTACTTTATTTCCTAATCAGGCAATGAACAGTGCTTTTTTGAGGTTTGTTTCTGGCAGTCTTCTGATGTTTTGGAAAGCTGCTCAGATTCAGACAGTGTGCAGATTTGGACTTTATGTGTCCACACATATAAACTCTGGAGACATTGGATGAAACTACTGCCAACCCCTGTCCTTGGATTTGTCAAATTCCATTTGGGTTGGTTTTCAAAGTTCACTCATCTAGAAGGTGTCTCCAGAAATGTTAATGGCCTAGGTCAGGCATGGGAGGATAGTGTTGATTTGGGCTCTTTGGAGGCTTGTTCTCACATGCAAGGACAGGTTCAGACTAGTCAGACTAGTTCTTTTATCCACTGACTGGGCAGTTTGAGTGAATGTCAGATTAGTCTGTGACACGGGATTACATGATTGTTCCATAGGAACGTGTGCTTGCTTTCCACTTTTGCTTGGAACTGCACTCTGTGCTCCTGCTCTTGTCAGAAGCACGGAGTCCTTCCCTTCCTTATTTCATGCAGTGATACCAGTTCTGATCACCCTATTAACTTAGTTTCCAACTAACATGTCATCTGCTAAACATTCCATTTTATTTATTTATTTGTTTGTTTATTAACATTTCTATCTCGCCTTATATGTTAAAAAAGTTTTCAAGGCAGCATGAAAAAATTTAAAACAAACCATAAAATAAGGTCATTAAAACAATTATAAACCACACTTTTTAAAAGCTAAATGGAAAAGATGCATCTTCACATCCTTTTTAAAGGCCAAGAAATTACGTGGAGGGGGAATTGTAATTATTGAGGGAGCACATTTCATAGACTGGGGACAACATAGAAGGAAGCTCTTTAATGTGTTCCCAGAAGATGGGTTTCTGCCCTCAAATACACTTTTCGTGCAGACATTAATACTTCATATTCATAGCAAGAGAGGCAGTCCATTAGATAGGCAAGTCCTAAGCTGTGTAGGTCTTTCAGGATAGGTGTAATATGATCCCAATGCTGTATAATAGTTAGCAATTCAATCTACTGGACACCTTTCAGAGGTACCCCCACGTAAAGTATTATTTATTTTTATTTATTTAGAATTTTTATATGCCGTCCCATCACTTATAGCCTCGGGACAGCTCACATAAAATAAATCAACATAATACATAGTAAAATAATACAATTAAAAACCCAGAATCACCCTGGCTGCAAAATTAAAATCTATAGATATTATTAAGAGTTGTTAAAATATTGTTTAAATAAAAAGGTCTTAGCCTTTTTGTACACTGTAATACTCTAATTGTGATATAACCCTGTTTTTATAGCACTCACATGAAAACTTCATCATGAGTTAGCCAAATCTACTCAGCCATATGTGGAGTACAAGGTTTCTATTGATTCTGGTGCCACAGTCAAGCACAAACTAATGATTATCTTCTCGCTTTGCTGATACCTGAATAGTTTTTCTATTAATAGATTTACATGCCAATCTTACCTGATTTGGGAAAAAGATGTGTCTGTGGTGGGTGGAACTAAGACATGAAACTATCCATTTTATACAGCAGGTATAAAGCTTTAAAGGGAGCAGCCCTTAATTTGTGCTATGCGTATAAGATGTAGAATCCAGTTGCAGCTCAGCCATCACATCAACATTCTTAGCAGGAACCAGTTCATCAGCTTAAACACAGTACATTTTGATTGCAAACAGCATGCTATGCTCGCTCAACTGCTTGCACAGGTGGTGAAATTATAACAATTGCAATGAATGTTGCCTGTATCCCGCTAGCAGAGATTCAGAATCTGAGCCTGGGCATCTCTGCAGAATTTTATGATAGCCAGAATTCATTATCTTATAACAGTACTTGTCTCTTTTTTATCATACTATCCAGGTTGGCTTTGTCTGCACACCTTTCTGAAAATGCCAGAGTTCAGGGATTGGTGGGGCAGATACACTGAGATTTGAGAAGACAGTGTCCATTGGGTGCAGTGTTGGGAACTGCTACATTAGGAATAATTTAAGCTATAGGCATAAGGGATCCATAGTTGTTAATAGCTTAAATAACTTGCCTCCTTCTGAATTTCATGCCTCACCTACTCACACCCTACAGGACAGTGTTTACAAGTGCTCTAGTTCTGCAGTCAAAAACGTTTTCACAAAATATGGTACTTGACAGCATTCCTGCAGAATCTTGCCAAGAGACACACACAGTCATCACTAACTGGAACTGTGGGCTTTGCCTTTATCTTGTGTTAATTTTGATACTTTACAATCCTAGAGTTTTCACCTCAGGATTTTTAACCAAAGAAAGTTAAATTTCATGAACAAATAGGGCAATTTCTGCAAACAAAATTATATTAAATATAGTTTATAACTAACAGTACAGAAATTGTCATTTTCAGTATGATTTTCTGGGATTTATGAAACTGTAATGTAAGAAACTAGAAACTTAGAGGTTAAACTGCATGTTCAGAAATGCAATATAATACAATACTTCCTGGACTGAAACACTTCAAACTGTAGGTTGTGGCTTGTATTTTTGGTTGTTGCTTGTGCCAAAAAAATTCCTTCCTATGGAAACCTAGCATATCAGGGAGAAGCTCATTAAGCGAGTCTCTCCCAAATGTGCCACTTTAGTGAGTTCAGAGTTTTTTATATAGAGGAACAGTCAAAACTGTGATCTTTCATGCTCAGCCTGAACTGGTAAGACCAGGAAAGGCTATACCACTTAATTTTTGTCAAGATGTAACTAAGCTTTTAACCTGCTTGGGTGAGTGACTCCAGTAATGCTCTCTGCTACCAACAGCATGTCACCCTGTTTTTGTCCTACAGTCCCAGGCAAACCTAACATGATGATTAGTACTACATCCATGAATACAGCCTTAATCAATTGGCACCCACCCAGAGAGATGGTCGGGGAGCTCCTGGGATACATGCTACAATACAAACGTGCTGATGAGGAAAAGATGACTGTCCTCAACTTTGGGAAGAATGTCCATCACCACACTGTGTCCAACCTTTACAAGGGTGCCACCTACATCTTCAAGTTGTCTGCCAAAAATAGGGTTGGTCCTGGGGAGGAGTTTGAGAAGGAAATCACTACTGCAGAAGAGGTGCCAAGTGGCTTCCCCCAGAACCTACATGTGGTCGGGCTGACCACTTCTACCACTAAAGTGACCTGGAATCCACCACTGCTGGCCGAGAGGAATGGAAAAATAACCAACTACACAATTGTGTACAGAGACATTAACAGCCAGCAGAATTTGACCAATGTTACTAAGGAAACAAGCATCACCCTGGCCAACCTCAAACCTGACACAACCTATGACATCAAAGTTAGAGCGCACACTAGCAAAGGAGCTGGGCCCCTCAGTCCCAGTATTCAATCCAGGACAATGCCAATGGAACAAGGTAAGCACCTCCTATTGTGAAGCCCTAAGCCAGTGTATGGGTCAGGGTGGCCTGGTCAGTCTTGACCCACTGGTCTTCTAAGTAGGGACACGGTGTGGGGAAGAGGAGCAAGTAGAGGAGTTGTGTGATTGCTTTTGTTCTTTTGAACACAAAAGCCATTTTCTGTTTGCATCTGAGAACTGTGGCACAATTGCTTTGTTGTGACCTTCAAAGGGGATTTTGCTTGAAGAGCCAGCACCTAGTAACTGGAATCTTTTGATTGTGGCAAAGAATCAGTGGGGAAAGTGGAAGGTGACAGCTCAATCTGAACCTCATGTCTGCATGCCCAAAGAGTACATTTGCACTTGGAAGGCATTTGAAAAGCTCGGATGGCCTCCTAAGATGTGAAAGAGGTGACTTCTCTAGCAGAAATCATCAGTTGTGCTGCTGCTTGGATGGGCGGAAGGACTGATGCAGGTTCATTGTCTCCTGTTGCCCCCCCAAGGGACACCTAAAAGTAGTTTATCTGATTACAGTGTTTGCAAAGAACTTCCGTGTCAGTGCTGTGATGAAAACATCAGTGCTACTTAGTTGGGAGGTGCCAGACTCTTATAAATCTGCAGTACCTTTCAAGGTAAGAAAATATTACTGTCATGGATTGGGGTCTGATCCAAGGGTAGTGATTATATTCTTCCAGAAAGACTTGGTCTAATCCAAGGGTTAGTGGTAGAGCACACACACTGCATACTGAAGATCCTGGGTCCACTTCTTGGCATCCCCATGTAAGGCTGGGAAGAGAATTCTTCCCAAACGCCAGGAGAGCTGCTACCCATTAGTGCCATACTGAGCTAGGTGAATCAATGCTTTGACTCAGTATAAAGCAGTTTCCTGCCTGGATAAAAGTCTGTGTCAGGTTTCCTCAAACGGGGTTTGTAACAGGGGTTTTGTATTCACCTATTCCATGTTTATAAGGATATTAAGTTAGTAAGATACCCTGGAGATTTGATGTCAGGATAAGAAACATGAGCTAGTGCAGAGCTCTTACTTTCACCTTTCCATCTCCTTTAGTCTGGTTCACTGAAGTATGATAAAACAAGCAGTTAGGCAAGTCTTCTAAGAATAGATTAAAATAAACTTGCTTTCCCAGGCAAAACTCCTTAGTCCTCTTGCTGATCATGAAGATGGAATCACAGAGGCTTCTCAAGCATAGCTGTACCTATATAGAAGGGGGAGGGTTTCTGTTAATTGCTCCTGAATGGGTAGGGGAGGATTTTGTGGTCAGGGCTGGCAAGAACCAGTGTAGTATAGTGGTTAGAGTGTTGGACTGGGACTTTGAAGATCCTAGTTCTTGTCTACACTTAGTCATTAAGCTCACTAGGTAACTTTGGGCCAGTCACTGACTCACAGTCTAACCTAACTCACAGGGTTGTTGTGAGGATAAAATGGAGAAGAAGGAGATCATGCAAGCTGCCTTGGGTACCTTGGTGGAAAAAAAGAGGAGGTAAATGTAATAGTCAATACAATAAACATGAAAGTGGCTGGCTCACAGAAACATTGCCCCAGTTGCATTGGCAGCTTATAAGAAAACAGCACCTACTCAGTTAAAGCAGAGGTGGGAAACTGCAGAAACCTAGGGGCCACTAGGAAGGGATTTTTTAAAAGAACTTTTTTGCTACTGAAATCTGGTAACAAATCACTACATAGCTCTCAGCAGCACTAAGCAAGCAAAACTTATCTTGCTATTCTTGGAGCTTTTCACTCTCAAACTGAATTTGACCCTTTACGTGTTTTGTAACACTCCATAAACTCTACATTTCATTTGTTTCTCTTTTTTTTCTCTTTTTGTTGGGGGACTGCCTGGTTTAAAGGAATCCTTTGAGCAGACTACAGTTAGGAGGCCAAATCTCTGAATTTCTGGGCAAATCCTTCTGGAGGGCTTGTTCATGAAGTATTTTGGCGCTGGCTTCTGTTAGGGCAGAGCAGAGGGGCTGCTCCAACACAAGACACTACAATATATAAATGCTTTTGCTATATCTTCTAGCGACATTATACAAACTGATAAGCCTTCTTGCTAGCAATGTCATAAGGGGAATTTTAGTATAAATGGTTTGTTCTTTGGACATATTTCCAGCGCTCTGTGGTCACATGATCCTGGTAGAGCTAATGAATTATCACAAGTGCTGTGTGGTGTGGGCTTCATAAGGTGTGGTGTGATTGCCATAGTTGAGGCTGCTGAGTCAACAGCAGCTGCTACTGCAGCTTGGCCACAATGGGACCCTAGAGCAGATGGTGTAAGTGATGTGCTAGCTGAGGAGCAGCCATGCAAATGCAAGGGGTGTAAATGAGCTTTGCTCTTGCATCTGAGAATATGAGATGTCCAGGCCATGCTCAAGGACCAACGGAGTGCCTGCCCAGAAGCAGCTGTGAACTCCAGGAATGGGAACTTTGTAAACAGGTCCCTCTCCTCTGTGGCTTCCTGCTTAATTCAAGCACACTGGATGCCAGGCCAAAGTCTAATAATTACAAGCACCACTGATAAATCTCCATGGGAACAATTAGCATTATCTACACTTGATAAACAGTCTCACACTAAATCTACATCCCAAAGGGTGTCAACTTTCTTTTTAACATTTAATTAAAATGGATATTGTTCTGATTTGTGAATACTGAGGCACAGGCTAAATCTCATGGTATTTTCATTGGGGATGAACTGAGACCTCTGAAATTTCTCTACTAAAAATCAATAATGAGACTTTCAGTTCTCCTCGGGGAAGAGTTGTTGCTTCATCTGGTCCAGGAGATAAAGTCCCTGCAAAAAGACATCTGGTTTTATGTAGTGAGAAAGAGATGTTATGATGAAATTCTTGTTGCAACCAGAACCTGATGTCATCCCCGATCTAAAAGACCTGTTTGCCTGCCTCCATTTGATTATTAAAATGCACATTGAACTTAAATCTTTTGTGGGAATGAGACCTGATTTTTAGACATTTTCATGAGGGCACAAGCAGAATATTTTTGGACTAGCAGCCTTGGCTTTTATCCCATAATTTAGGCCTTGGCAAGTGTTTAGTAATAGATCCATCTTGGAGATTGATTTTGCTGCTTTAACACAGTGACCAATTTTGCATGTCATGTTGCAGTTCCTAGGTTCTTTGACCTGGAAATTGGTGGAGGCAAGTCAAGCAACAAGTTTGTTGCCTCCCATCATTTCCACTTTCAGTTAACAACTCTGAGTTGTTTATGGCTTCTCCCTCCCTCCCTCCCTCCCTCACTCACTCACACACTGGTGTTAGAGGGGAATTATGTCAATATCAGATTTGATTCTTAAGGATCAGATATGAACATTTGAAGAGCTTTCCTCCATATAAGGATTCTGGTAGAGAACTGATGCTGTACAGTGTTGGCTGCACTTTGTGACCCTGATAGTGAACATGGAAAACTTCTGTTTGGCAGCCATTTGTTTCTGAAGATTCCGTGAGGAATGAGCAGAGCCAGCAAACATTCCAGAGAACCAGTTTGTTGTTCGTAGGGAGAAACACTGAGGGTACAGGAACAAAATCTGCTTCTGTTGCTGGACTGAAATCCTGCAAATCCCACAGGAGCTGTTTCTCAGTCACATCTCCAATGCACCAAGGATTCCCGAGTGAGCACATCCTCAGTACTACTAGCTTTCCATTGCTGGAGGATGTTCTTTGTAAACGGAGAGGAGAGGAACACACTTCTGAAATAAGTAGACTATAGAATGCTAGGAATAAAGTAGGATTAGGGAGAGAAGGCTACACTGAAGCATTGGGACACACTTAGGATTTTCAAGGATGGAAGCAGGAAATGACCAAATCCCATAAAACAGAATGTGTAGAAAGAAAGGGAGCTGAGATAAATTCTGCTTAGCATGCATGTTTCCTTCTGTTTGGTACCTGCTTTATCATCCCACTATCCCCACTGGAAACTCAGGTGCCAGCACTTCTACATCTAGATTTATTTATTTGTTTGTTTTATATCCTGCTTTTTTTCCCTTAGAAAGTGACTTACAGCATTCTCCTCCTCATACTCTCAGTCTCATCTGCACAACAACAATTGTTTGAGGTAGGTTAGACTGAGAGTCTGTGACTGGCCCAAAGTCACCCAGTAGGCTCCATGGCAAGGCAAGGACTGGAACCCAAGTCACCTGAATCTCAGTCCTGCACTCTTAACCAACACACCGCACTGCACACTTTGAGTCGCACCACTAGAACTTTGCTTAGAGGTAAACATAAACCATTAAATTTCAGGCAGGGCCATATTTCAGACCCTTGAAAGTATAATTTATTTACTAAATTCCTATGCTGCCCAATAGTCAGAACTCAGTGGGTAATTTTTCTAAAATGGATGAAAACTGCTTCATAATAAAGCCAAAATATTTCTAACATTAGAGAACATGAGCAAGGATCTGAAAATCACTAACACCATTTTAAAGTTGGGGAACCTTTAAGACTGAGGGGGAGATGAAAGGAGCTTAAATCAAGCACCAAAACTCCACAATGTACATGTCAGGTTAGCTTCTCTGTGGAAGGCCTTCCACAGCCAGGTTCTGCCACTCCTTAGTAGCCATCTGCTTCATTTGGCATGGGCACATGAGAAAGGTCTCAGAAGATGACATTAGTGCCTGCATAGATATGTACAGGAGAAGGTGCTCCTTCAGGTAACTTAGTCTCAAGTTATTAAGGGCTTACAGGACTCTGAATATTAGCACATTTAAATGGGCAATACTGAACTGGTAGGCAAGGTAGAAGAAAGAACATTGGCTAGACATGCACATGGTAGGCATGTCATGAGCGGAGCCGGCTAGAGCCGGGGGTCAGGCTAGATGGCCCGGGAGGCAGCTTCTGTCTCGCTCTGTTTCTGTGTTTCTAATATTACTGAATCAGCCAATCACAGTTAGCAGTGTTGCTACCATATTTTGGATTAAAATTTCTTCCATTTCTATACTAAAATCAGGCCAAAATTACAATTAAAACTCAGCAGCTATGGTCATATAATTGTACTTATTCAAAGTAGCAATAATTTCACTCAGTAAGAGGTCAGCTTCTTTAATCACTCATGTAATGAGAAGATAGCAAAAAAGACCTATACCAAGTGGTGACAATTTGAAGATGAAATTCATTCTTTTACCCCTTTACCTTGCCTTTTTCCGGGCAAGGACACCTATAGCTTGGCTTCTAAGAATGTGTTGCTTGCTTTCAGATTCTATACAATGGCCAGACTGTGGAGGTAGATGGCCACTCCATGAAGAAGCTGATCAGTGACCTACAGCCAGACACCAACTACTCCTTTGCACTCACAAACCGAGGAAGCAGTGCTGGGGCATTGCAGCATCGGGTCTTCATCCGGACAGCACCTGATGTCCTTCAGAGCAAGCCCATTTCCACATACAAATATATCCATAATGGGCAATTTACCATCACTCTCCCCAGAGTGAAGACTTCTGTGCCAGTCAGGTATATTTATTCCATTTCTATAATTCTGCTCAGCTTACTGGCCTGGTGCTGTGTTTTGCCAAAGGAGAGCAGGGTGTCAGGCTCTATCTTGTTTTAGGGGTAGAAGATAGGACTCTATTAAGTCCCTGCAGAGTCATGAGATTTTTCCATACACAATAAGATGTGGTGATATCTTTGGGAACTGTGTCAAATGTTATAGGATTTGATTGTGCTGTGAATTCACCTACCAAGTACTTTAAAGACTTTGTAGTGGAAATAGGTTGCTGATAACGGGCATATGGACTTGAAATGGTGCTTTATTTGGGATTTTGCTCTTAGGTTACCATTCTGTGCTTTGTTACCCTTCTGTGAAAATTAGATCCACAAAACCATAACGTGTAGGATCATAAAGCCATAATCCCCCCTTTTCTCTGAAAGGACCCAGAATGCACCTTCTATAATGTTGAACAGTTACTTATTTTAAATCCCTGTAGGAGGCTTTTGAAGCTGCATTTGTGTTTGTGGTCGCTGAAATAGGAACTCAGTGATGCACTTCTCCTTCCAGTCTCTGGCATGATTCCACTAAAGACTGGTCTTCTGACCTCATTAGTGTAATAGATACCAACAGCTTAGAGACTGACACAAAGTGGAAAGTGCAAATGAATTGAAGGTAGCAAGTGAGAGCTGCAGGGTTGCCAAGGGTTGTATTCCACTTTAATCCTCCTCATAGATTCATTGAAATGAATTGTATTCAGACTAACATTAAATACAACCTCAAGGTGGTCTGTAGTAGGGCTCATCCCTTCCATCCTCTTGTTTTCCAGGTGGTACTACATTGTGGTTGTGCCAATTGACCACACAAGCAACATACTTTCCTCCAGTTTGAGGACTCCAGATGAGATGGAACTGGATCAGGTAGGAGAAGAAAGAAACCTGCTAGTGTCAAAATTTGCTCCCACATGTTTTGTACAGAGTATGGGAAGCAGATGTTGAAGAAACTAACCTGCACATATGAACTGAGTTGGGAGGATTATATAGGCAATGATGCCAGTGCTGTGATATTGTGAAGGCTAGTAGAAGACTTGGGGTTTCTTTGCCTGTGTAGGATTATTCCCCGGAAACAGCTGTATTTGGTGCCATCTTCTCCCACCCTGACAATGATGAGTTTGTCAACTACCCCTGATCTCCACGCTCAACTCTAACCATTTCTCAAAATTGCCTGCAGAACTTTCACCGGCTTAGCCTGAAAGAGGCCGCTAACATGGGATTCCCTGAGGACTTGTCACATTTATGAATCACATACCATTTCCTTTCATCCTCAGGCTGCGTTGTACCATTTCTCTGAATACTGAAACTGAAGCTTAGATATGGCAGAGTGCATGTGCACGTGTGTGTATCTTACCTCAAAAGTTAGAATTTAGACAATTAGTTATTTAAAAAAGGGTATAGAGCAGGGACACCACTCCAGGTGAGGTTACAAGCCACTGGCCTCCTTTCCAAATGCAGTTGCAGCTTCTGTCTTCGTAGCACCACAGCTGCTCTGATGCTCCCTATTTGCCCCTGCACATTTTTGTGGGAAATGTATTTTATGCCTCCTCCTTCATTTTGAATTAGAAATTCAGAGCCCAGTAGTCAGAGCCTAGCATTCATTTTTATTCATTAGAAAAACACTTTTAACATCTGAGAGCCTTTCTGCACAATGTAATTGAATTTTGGTGCATTTATTTTCTTTCTCTTGAATTTATGGATGACTATGAAATTTGTCATTTTTTCTCTCAATGTTCCAAGAAATCTGTTAGCGCCATATATGCTTTACATAAAGCTTGGCTGCAGCCCTGCAAGATGTGAGCTGGGAGTACCTGCCTTTCCCTTTTGTACATTTTACTGCAGCCTATAACGTAGATTTGGAATTGCGGGGATAGGTCCCAAACTCTGCTTAACTGTCAGTTCCAACCCCTGAGCATCTAAAGATACATTTGTAGATCATGCATAGCCATTGCCTCATTTTCTTCATGCTGACTAGGAAGCCCACAAAAACATGGCTACTGCTTACCCACTATCCAAGGCCACTACACACTTCAAAATTCTTTTTAAATGTTTAAGACTAGCAACTTTTTATACAAGGTACTATTTTTCATGAAACACTGCCTAAAATAGATTATGTTGGGGGGGAAATCAAAAGTTGCATTAGAATCCTAGAACAATACTTTGCTTAAACACTCAAATCCTGTGCAGGCTAATAATTATGCTGACAAGGGAGGAGATGTTAATTTGTGGAATCCTGGAGAAAGCCTTAGGGAATTCATTACAGTAAGGAATATCTGGGCCATCCTGAGCTATTTACCTGATTTGCAAGTTTCCCTTATGGAAATACAGTGTCACCTTTCATAGCTTTTTCTCTTAAGGGCTTTATTTTGCTACCCAGTTACTTGAGGCCATAAACCAAGGGACCCCAGACAGACGTCAGCGTCGGCAAGCAGAACACCTCAAGCCCTACATTGCTGCCCAAATGGATGAACTGCCAGACACCTTTGTCTTGGGGGACGAAAAGAACTATAAAGGCTTCTATAATAAGCCACTTTCAGAAGACCTGAGTTACCGTTGTTTTGTGTTGGCTTCTCTAGAAGATGGTGATACGGTAAGGAACTTGAGGAGAGAGGACTGGGCATTGCCTGATAGAGCTATTTCAGAAGTGGCATTGAGGAGTATTGATAATAATAAACGTTGTAGAAGTTACATATCCAAAGCTTTCATCCTTCTCCTTGCCTCTTTTGCCTGTGTACTTAAGGACCTGGCAGATCAGAGGGGAAAAAATAGATCCATCTTTTGCATTTTTTTCACTTCCCCCACCTCTGTATTATTTAGAATTATCCATTGCTGCAAACCAGTATGAATGAGGGAGAGAAAAGGGTAAGTAATGTTGCTGCTGCTGTGAATGTGTAAATAACATCCAGCCATAATGAAGACACTCTGGCCCTTCTGTTCTGCCCTGTGCTGGGGCTCTCACTTTCAGCCTCATTTACTTGCAATGGCTCATTAGAGCTGGTCAAATGCTTCATTACTCACCTGGTCCAAGTACTTGTGTAGTGGACTCAGCAAACATACAGTTATCAGGCAGGAAAGCTGAAGGCCTTGGAACAACCAGTGGATTTTTGCTTGTGCCATGAGGCTAGGGATTGCACATACAAGAGAGAGTATGCAAAAGAACTCTATAACCAGCAGAACAAATTCTCCAGGCACCTGATTTTATTTTGTGATGTGGTGGCAGCTGTTCTGTAGTTAAGCTTTATTGCTCCCCTCACATTCCCTGCTGGCCCTTTCTAGCTCCTGTGCCAAGTCGCAAGTTCCAGCTTAGAGTTCAGCTTGGTCATCCTTGCCTTACCTTAGGGCAGACGTATACAACTCCAAATGTTTTGGCCCACAATCTCCATCAACCCTAGCCAGCATTCTGGTGATGAGAGGTCATGGGAGTTGTAAGCCAATACAAAGGGAAACAGTTCATTCACTCCTGCATTAAAGCCTCCCCTCTTTTTGGCATATTTGGTACATAGGGCAACCCTGACTGAATGTTGTTACAATATCATAAATGAGCATTGCTGAAAGAACTATTGCAGAGCACAGATTATTTTCTCATTTAGCATGTTTCATTTCTGAATCAAGAAGTGCCAGGAGTTGACTACAGAGTAAAAAGCAGTATTATACAGAGCTGTTTAGTTTAATGACAGCCAATGACTATCACCAATAATTCTTAGAAAAGTCCTAGAACTTTGGGAATGTATTCTTATTTTATTTATTTCTTATGTTGTTAAACAGCCCAATAACCTAAATTCTCTGGATGGCGTGCAGATTAAAAACATAAAAATAGAAAAGGCAGTTAGATGATAAATCAAGTCAGATAAAAGCAAGATAAAACAAGTTCATGAAACAACAAGATAAAACCGGCAGCAGTGCATAATAAAACCAGAACAGGCAACATCGGAAAGATCTGGAAGCACAAAAACAATCCCCAGAGTGCTTGAAACAATAAAAAATGTCTTCCCCTGACACGGAAAAGACCACCATGTGGGAACCAGGCAAGCCTTTGTGAGGAAGACATTCTCCAGATGGCCTTCCAGCACTGAAAAGGCTCTCTTTCTCCTAGCCAGCTCATTCTCAGTAGTATGAAAATTGCCTCCAAACATATTACTACTTCTCACGTTCCAGGACTGAGTCCCCACACTGAACCAGGTTCCCACAGTGAGTCATGGTGCAAACCTAACTGCATGTGCTTCTTGCTGGACATGTATAAGAAAAGACAGGCATGGGCACATGTTCTGTGTCTCCAGCAAAAATGCCTGAAGCCAGAGAGGCTGTTTCAGATCTCAGCCTCCAGGCCATCATACCTTCGAACAGCAGGAGTTGCTGAAGCAGCTAAAAGTGCAATCAGTGTAAGCTGCTCCCTTGGCTGGAGCCTTAGATGTTCTCGGTAAGAACAGAGAATGTGACTCTCCTGACCTGCTTCCTCCTTTAACATGATTAGAGCATACCCAAGGACTGAGCCAGCCAATTCCAATTGCACACATGCAACATGTTAGGCAACAAGCACTCTTGCTCGCTGAACAGCAACTCAAATGAGAAGCCTTTGTCTATAAGGAGCCCCTGTGAAGCCTTCGCTGTTCGAGACTTAGCTGTAGCTTCAAGCACAGCTATGAGCTGGTCTGCTGCTTAATGTGCAGCATTTTGCCCGGCAGGTGTTCCATGACATCGTACCCCCTAGGATGTCGTGTTTATATTGGTATAATAGATATTATAAACCACTTAGTCACTACAGCGAGCCCCAGTGCTCAACTGGCTGCAACTCCAAAGCCTATAATTTGGCTCTTTGTGTGTCTGAGACTGGCAACTTGCTCTCAGTTGGACTACTCCATTCTGGCACCGAAGGAGGCCACTCTCTGGTTCAAAGTGGTTCTTTGCCGCAGGGAGGAGGTGGGATTTCACAGTGTCTTGCATGAATTTCATGGTTAGTGAGAAAAGAGAGCAGGTGGACAACTTGGAGGACTGGGCAGTGGGAAAGCTGGAGCTGATGTAGGGTAAGGGATCTGATGAATGAATTTTGGCTGCGTTTCTCTCCCACTCACAGAAGAAGTATGCGGCCAGCCCCTATTCAGATGAGATTGTGATGGAGGTATCAGCAAAACAGCAGGACGAACCAGAGATGCTGTGGGTGATGGGTCCTGTCTTGGCTGTCATCTTAATTATCATCATTGTCATTGCTATCCTGCTCTTCAAAAGGTGAGAGACAGCCAAGGCCTCTACAGTGTGAGGGTGTTTGTGGTGCGGCAGTGTACAAGCTCTAAGCGCATGTTTTCCTAATGACAAACTCAAGGGCACAGTCAGTCCCCTCTGAGGCAACCCAAAGGCCTTGCTCATCTTTACCTGCAAGACAAAGTTCAATAAGGCAAAGCACTAGGGCAGGAGACACACGGAGGGGAGGACACATTCAACAGGCTCTGTATTTCACTTTACTTTCCAGTACTCTGTACTGCGAGTGAACTGGGGCTGTTGCCCCAGTTAATATAGTCAATAATATAATGCGATCACCAGATAAGCATTTGTGCTCCCATACTTCTTAGCAGTGCTAGGTTGATTATCTGGCTTCTGTAATTTGGATTATGCAAGAGGCTTTGGGTATCAGGTGCTCTGATCTATATTCTGGGTTACAAATGTCCAGCTAGTTTTTTTTAAGCTGCTCATTAGCTTACTGAAAATAGTGACTCTTCCATCTCAGTTCTGAGCAAGCCAACATAAGTTTTACCCCAGTAAAATATGCATAGTTGCCAGAGAGGGGAAGGGTTAACTTTGGGTTATTGCACATGGAATTAATATTTTTTGTAACTATGCTTTCTCTTTCCATTTCTGCTGCCCTGGATCTAGCAAACAAGAAAGGTAGACACCCTATTTTTCTCTTCATGTCTGTTTCAAATCCACAATTTCATCTTGTTAAGAGCAGCACACTTGCACCCAGACCTGTCTGGTGCCACTCGTCTAGTCATTGTGCTATGCGTAACTCTTTCACTGTTCTCTACTGCAGGGATTTCCAGACAAGGCATTTATGGCACTATTAGTCATCTTCTACTAGGAATTCTATGTTTTCCCAACATTCTTCCCTCTCTTTTTTCTTACCACAGAAAATCCATTAAGGAGAAAAAGATAGAACAGTTGCACAATGCCTTTTAATTGGTAGCAGTAGGAACCCTGCATGTAGAAACAGCCTTAGTTTCCATGTAGAAACAGCCTTAGTTTTCTGTCAGATTTAAATAAAGAACTTTGCAGTCAAGATTTACCCAGATTTCAAGGAACTGGGTCACTTTCAAAGCAAAATTGGCCTAGGTTGTAACATTGTCACAAAGTGACTTGAGTTCCTTGGCAAAATCAATTAGCTCTATAAACCTTTTCAATAAGGCCTTTCTCAGTTGTTCCATGTGCCATATTAAAAGGTCCCAGTGGTTGCTGACTTTAGCACCTAGCTGCTCATTGACAAATATGGACATAATGCTGTACAAGGAAGTGATGTCCACTTTCATCTGGAAGTAGGGGTAAAAGCAAAACTTCTGGCTTCTTTGCATCCTGGTCTCCTTGGGTCATGAATATGGGTTGATGGGAGGTTCTTATGTTAGATGCTGCAATAATGTAACTACTTTCTAAATCGGTTGAACAGATCTTTTCTCTGCATAGCACAGAGAGCTGTTTAAGTTTCATGATAACTGCAGTGCATCTGTCCAGAACAACCTGATGCTGCTAGCACCACCAAGGGCTGTAAGTTGCTAGTAGTTTGCTGCTCACGCTGCCATGTGGCACTTCCTGCTTTTTAACAAATGGATTTGTGCCACCAGGCAAATTAACATCCTTTCAGGGTGCTGTCAACTGTTCTCCTGTGTTAATCATCAGTGCTTTTGGCTTGCTTGAAAGAGCACCAGAGTACCTTACCCTTTGTAAAAGAGATTTAAAGATAAGCTGCAGTGTAATTTTCCTTGGTACCCATCAGAGAGGTTGCCATTTCTGTTTCTGGAATGAAAGCATCCCTTTCTCATTCTACCCCAGAAACTATCTCTTAGTTGCCCCAGAAAACACATTGCAGTTCTAGCTACAGTGTAAGAAGCAGTATGGGGCTGTTTGCTTTAATGATAGCCAGTGAATTTTGCCAATAATTTGTCTTGCCTCCCAAAATTTCCTGTAAAGGTCTCCTATTTAATTACTGGACTGGTTCATCTCTGCTTAGCTAGTGAAATCTACCAGGATAAGAGCCTAGGGTGGTGGAGCTGTAGGCATAAATATAGCATGAAGAGACAATAGTATATTTTATTGTTCCATTAACACACGCCTGGGGGGCCTTCATCTATTCAAGACAAGTATTAATGGACCAATAAAACTCACCCTGAAGAGCCCTTACCCCATTATATTACAACTGTTCATACTTAAAATATTTTTTTATACTTGGGAAAATCTTACGTATTCTTCCACCACAGGAAGTAGTACCTAAGAAAGGAATCAGGGTGAAATTGCAGGTTTTGTAATACTCTGTCTGTGAAGGGATGAGTTCTTCCTTACGTTCCAGTGGATATATTATTAAGTCTTCTACCAGGCCATCTTGAAGCTCACTGCCATGTGACCCAAGCCCAGGTTCCATTTGTAAGCTTTGCCTTCTCTTCCTTTAGGAAAAGGGCCAATTCACCTACCTCTAAGGATGAACATTCCATTGGCCTGAAGGACTCCCTGCTGGCCCATTCCTCTGACCCTGTTGAAATGAGACGGCTCAACTACCAAACACCAGGTAGGCTGTGGCCCTGTTGAGTCATGGCAAGAGTGATAGTATATTCTAAAGATAATGTTTAATTTTGTCCTTTACACTGACAGGTTTAAGGACCAACAGCAGAGCGGGCAGACGCTATTGGTCTGTTATTTCGATTTGGCTCCTGATGAGCCTTTCATCACCTGGGTTACAGCAGGTTGTAGTTATGATAGGTGCTGCTGGCAACAGCATCTCTTCAACAGGCAGCATGTTCTAGATTGGCTGTTTCTTGGATGGTGTCTCACCCTCATCTAAAACAGGATTGGAATTGCATTCACCTTTGCTGGAGTAGAAACTACTCGTCATCCCACTGTTCTTAGTTGGTGGGATTATGGATACACCTGAGCCATCTGAGTCATACAGAGGACTTTGCTTGATTGTATGACTCCAACTAGAAAGATACTCCTGTATTCCTTCCCTTTCAGATTATTTGTCCTGCTTGTGGTAGATCTGGGGTGAAAGTATGTCCACAGGGGAAACCTTTAGTTATGCTGGAACTACATGCAGCAGCGCTTTCTCTTCTCTGAGTCCAGGACTCCACTACCTCATATTGCCTTACAGATGGGAGAGAGGACAGGGCTCACAGAGCTTGTACCCAGCTTATAAAGCTGTGGGATGGGAACACTTCCACCCTGTTAGTGGAAGGTCAGTAGTTCATCAGCTAATGTAGTCCAAATTAGTCACAGAACTGTGCACAGGTACAAGAAAAGTTGCATAAAAAGCAGGCAAAGCAACAGCTTGAGGAACACGCTTGTGTACAAATTCTCCTACTTGACTAGTATTGCTGAGCCGCTTCTTTCAGCCTTTCCACCCTTTTGTCTTCTCAACTAGCCATCAGGAGGCAGCAGATGTGCCAAGAAAGCTCTGCCATTCATGGTACCGTCTGAGTCACTCAGTTGCCTCCACTGACTCTCACCTTCATACCTCTGTGGGTCAGACAGTAGCAACTGAACTCTGAGCAGGGTAGTAGTTGCCATCCCTGTGGGCAACTGTAAAGACAGGAAGGGGTTTGCTCAGTACATAATTCATCAGGCTACTGTTGTTAAATGCTTTAAGTATCACTTTAATAGTTTCTACTTCAGACAAGCCCTTGCTTGAATGGCTAGCTCCCTCATGCTCCATTTTGTAGAGTTGGCACAGGTTGGGCAGGGTGACGTCACTGTTAAATGATCGGGTGAGTGACACCTCAGCCGTGGTCACAGGGCTCTGCTGCTGGTTCATGTAGCAAGGGGCACCTGGTCTCCGGAAGGCAATATGTGCTAGAAGTGGGGACTGTCTTTCCAGGCCAACAAGCCAAGCCATTTATCATGTCCATTGTGGGGAAAAATCTAGCTTCTATCCTCTTTGTGGTAGCAAAATTGTCTGTGAGATAATCCTGGTTGTAGCTGCTGCTTGTCTTAATATATCACCCCCTGTGCTGCTACATGTGTAGCAAGTGTTGTGCTGCAATTTCTTCTTCTAAACATGGTTCTGAAGGCGGTAGTGGGGACTTCTATGTTGCCTTTTCACCTTCCTCTGCCATATCCTCAACTCTGCCCTCAGCAACAGCTAATGGGATTTCTGTTCTTGCAGGTGCCAGTGGCCCCAGTTGCCTGAATATCTCAAGTTAGTTTTTTTCTCCTCCTCCTTTTGCTTCTTACTCACTCTCTTTTCCCCCACTCTCCTTTCTTTCTCATCTTTTTTTTTGCTCACTGTCATGAAGGTCAGCCTCACTCACCACAGATTTAGAGATAACAATTTCAGTGGCTCATGGGTCAGGGTTTCTCCCAAAGGCTAGTTTCTGTTGCAGTTCACATAAGATGCTCCCACTTGCATGGGAGGAGAAGAGGAGGAGTTAGACCTCGACAGTTTTCCAAATGATGCCATTCAGAAATCCGCCAATGAAGTTGCAATCTGGGCTGAGCACCCAGCACTGCAGCAGCTATTCTCTTAGCAGCTTGTAGGTTCAACTCTAGCTTTAGGAAGAAAGGGCCTGACTGCCATTGCAAAGGGTGCATTTATACTCCATGTGGCCATATAATATTTCTTCCAAAATGAATTGGAAATACTAATCTAGTAAGCTAGGAAATTGCTCATCCCTTGGTGTTTTTCACTGTTGTATTCGCATTTGCCTTATGGGAATGCCTTAAACCCAGGAATAGTTGTGCACTTTCACTCTCTGTTCTTTCTTTCTTTCTCTGTGTTAATGTGCTTCAAATGAAGGGTGTCCCTTGCAGATTTTGTATTAAATTTCTGATCTTAGTGTGATGAGTGGGCAAAGGAGAAAATTGGAAGCTGATTGTCCACACAGGTTTGCAAGGTTTGAGTCTAGCCTTCCATGAAAGGGAAGAAAATGAAGGGGGAGTCTACTGCAGATTCAATTTCAAGTTGATGCTTTACAGAGGAGCAGAGGCAGGACTCAGCTGTCAAAGGAAGAAGTCCAGGGAGATAGTTAAAGCCTCGTGTGAATCCACTTCCTGTTGTGTCTTCTTAAGGAATCAACCTACTCTAGGCTAGTATTACAGCCCAGATCCTCTGTTCTCCCTCCCCATCATTAAGCAAAATATTATTTGATAACAAATATTCTTAAATTACCTAGTTATTAGAGGAAGGAATTACTGGTGTCTCTCCAATGGGAATGCAGCTATTAATGCTTAAAATTTGACTGCTGCTTGAATCTCTACAGCTGAGAATAGGCTGTTGAGGGATACGTAAACTGGTGCCAAGGCCCAGTAAGCAAAGAAGGCATGTGATCAAGACCTTTCTTTCTGCACTGTAGTGAACACTGTTGGTGTGAACTGAAGGCAGGGCCCCATTCTGCAAAAGCTTTCTGCTTTACTCCTGTCCCCCAGCCTAACTCAGCCTCATTCTGCACAGGAGCATCTTTCCAAGTCCTTTCACCCTTTCCACCTGGTGTGGAGGTTACCTGGCTGGTAGCTGTCTCATCTGAGCATGTACACATACATTGTGCCATTGTGTGGGCACTGCACGTCATGATACCTTGCTCATGTGCCATCCATTTCATCATTGTCACACATTGTCATCTGGTCTACTGTAGACACATGAATGAACAACTCCACCTGTAGCTCAGCAATAATTTTCTCCCCTGCTACCTTGTGTTTGGTCCGACAGGTATGCGCGACCACCCTCCCATTCCGGTGACAGACCTCGCTGACAACATTGACCGGCTGAAGGCCAATGATGGGCTGAAGTTCTCCCAGGAATATGAGGTGAGCAGCCTTATGTCTTCTTTTAGATCTGCATCCCCCTATATAGTAGCTCTTCCACAGCATCTCAGTAGTTTTGATGAACTAACAATAATTTCATCTGGCTCAGTGTGTCCAAGAAATTCAAGTCCAAGAAATTTTAGCACTCCCGACACCACCTGGTTCAGCCAATCTTGTGTCTGTGAAAAACCCCTTAACTCTGATCCCTTGTCCCCATTTCCATATTTATCTCTCTTTTCTTGCAAGTATTCAGTTAGGACCACTTCACTGTCACCTTTTCTGACCCTGGCATCACTGACCAAATCCTGGAACAATATAAAATGTAATGTGGGAATGTCCATGTGCACACCTGTTCAGTATATATAGAGGCTTACAAATGTGTATATTGGGAGCAATAGAGATATTTCTGTAGCTATTCTCACATTACATTTTACACATTTTCTGATAATTATTAATCATTTTGGGAAATGTAACATGTGCCACAGCCACTGGAGTGCTGCTTATGCTGTGATGGAGGCCAAGAATTGCCATGGCTCTTGCTCACAAGTACCTTCTCTCCACAATGAACCATTTACTAGGCAGATGATTAATTTGAAAAATTGCAATGTTGGAAAAAGTTCCCTTGTAGCTATTAGAGTCACAGTAGCAGGATAAATGTTTTTATGTGCTTGCAGCAAGCCCTGCAGGGCCCACTTCAGCTGTGAGGGGTTTATATCATAAATAAAACTCTCTCATATAGGGAGAGGGGGGAGGATAAATTGAGTAAGTGTCCTTTATACACATTATTGGTCCTGTTTGAATTGTTATCTTCCCTTGCCCCTGACCTCCCCTTGCTGCAGCATATCTCCCTTGATTCAGAAGATGTGATACACACATTACCCACAAGGCAAGATTATAGGGGCCAGGAAGCCAGGGAGATTCACTGACTAACTAAAGGCAAATACATGAAGTGGGACTAAAGCCTAGGAAATGGTTAACTCCAGATGACTAATCCACATGATATATCAGTGAGGGGAGTAGAGTTTTGAGCAAGGCTTCTAACTAGGTGAGTGCACCAAATAAGCAGGCAAGATCATTCCGTGTCCCTGTTTGCCTGCTGGCCCATTTGCCATTTCCCCCGCAAACAGCCCCACCCCATTTGCAGCCAGAACTTTTGCTTCACAGACCATTATAACAGGAATCCTTTTGTGATGTGAAAGGACTGTGAGCGACATTAGCAGCATCAACATCTGGGGCTCAGTGATCCTGCTCTTGTCAGGGGCTGAGTTACACCAGAGAGCTCAATGTCTCTCAAAGTGGCCATTAAATATCTCTGTGATGTGTGTTCTTCCAATCCGTCACTTTCTAATTCCAATTTCAAAGCAATCATCTGCTATATTGGCCATGCTGAAGTAGATATTAAGTAGGGAGCTGATTGTGGCCAATAGCTTTTTCTCAGGGATTCTTCTGCCTTGTACCCAGTCCTGTTTTTCCCAGGCTAGGATGGGCAGAGTAGGAAGAGAGGATATTCTCAATGGCACAAAGAGGAAGAGTCCTGAAGCAACACTTACCCACTCAGGGAGTTGGAAGAAAACAGAACAAACCTTTCTTGATTTTGTCCTTGGTGCTACTGGGGAAAAAATTGAATGTTCAGGCCTAACAAGTGCACTGACACTACTGGCACGGCAGGTGCTATACAGCAGAGACAACAGCATGCTGTGAGGGAAGATATGTAGAAAAATAGGTAATTAATCTGGAGCAATCTTGTGTATCAAAGCTGAGTAATGGACAAGCGGTTTAGCAGTGGGACATACCGCTACACAGGAAGCATATTCTCTATCCCCTCCTGATGACAGCTTTTACCCCCAGTAGACTCCAGTCTCAATCATGGACCCTGTGACCCAGGGGCTCCTGGATATAGACTTGCACTGAGCTGTGCATACCCTTTGTGCTACTTAGCTTGGCTCAAGCTGCAAAAAGGGAAGGGAGAGCAATTTGGACCATCTGTCAAAGTCATTTGCTGTCCTATAAATTTTTGGGAAGAATTACATTTGAGGTACTCTCACACAACACGAGTTTGCTTGTTCTACAGAGGGCAAGCTCAAACCCATAGGGAGGCCTGAATATTTAACAGCACTTTAGCCACAGCATTGGGATAGCATTAGAAGCAATTACCAGCTGAGCAAAACTGCACTGCTGAGAGAGGAGAGCTACATCAGTCTGCAACCCCTGCTTTAGGACCTCAGGGGCAATAGCAGAGAAAGTGAGGTCAAGCGCCCAGTCGGCAGCTTGCAGAGGCTGCATTTGGAGATGCATCTATGAGAGAGGACAGTTGGAGCAGAAAAAGGATTTGGCCTGTGAAATGGCTGCCTGGTGCCACCAGTGCCAGGTAGGAGCTGCTATGGGCTCGAAGTCAACTTGTCATTTCTCATGTGACTTGCATGCATGATAGGAGTGGCTAGCTTATTGTCTCTCTTAATTGGTCTGGATGTGGTGGGTGAACCAAGCCAGAGGTAGAGTATCTTTAGTACTTCATGTACAGTACAACTCAGAGAGAATTTATAGCCAGGGATTAATAGAATTAAATAAGCACAGTCCTGCCAGCATGTTAATTATTTATCTACACTTGCTGTGCTAGAACAATGGCTAACTTTGAGCTCCTCCTGTTGGACTCTTGTTTGTACTGCAGGCAGGCAGGATAATCAATGCAGGTGGTCTCCTAGATAAATATTAGGCAGTTTTGAAATGGGACAAGCTTCCATCTCTGCTCAGTGAAAGAGGGGGGGAGGAAAGGAGGGAAACAGGCTTTTGGGAACCAGAGTACTTCTCTTCCATGCTGACAGGGAACAGATGCTATCTGCTATGTGTGTAGCAGGTGAATTGGCTACAGTTCTGTTCTTTGTATCTATTACTGATCATACAGCCAGCCCAAGATATTTTCTGCCTGTGACCAAGTGGTAAATGTTGCTGCTACCACCACCCCAAAGCCAAAGTGCATAGTACCAAAGGCTGGCCAGGTAAATTTGTCATCCAGGGAATAAAATTCTATATGCACTTGCTCCTAATAGTAAAAATACAATAATAATCAAAGAAGTAACAGTTTGCTGACCTTACACAGCAGCCAGAATCAGGTACCTCAAAAAACTACTTTACCCTCCCTAATAGTAGGGCTGGCCCTGATCATAGTCCTTAAGCTGTATACCATGTATTGTCCCTCCTCTTTGGATTCAAAACCAGTCTGGAGCCTTTGTATCAATGCTGGACCTTCAAAGTAAGAGTAGCATCATGCTAAGGCACTTACAGACTCAAGGAGAATATCTTGAGAACCTCGACGATGCAATGGAGAAGGTCACAGGGTGAAGAGTGGAACGAGCTTTAGATTTGTCTACTTAACATGTTGTTATTTGCATACTGGCACAGGAGAATGCCTTGCTTGTGCTAATGTGAATACCTCAGGGAGACAGGCAAGATCACCAGTGTGGAAACATTTGGGTGGCCATGGACTGCTGGCATAGTCCCAACATTTTCTGGACTGCTAACTCTTCGCCCACTTAGCTCAGTAAGTGGGAGCCAGGTGTATGCTTATATCTGTAAAATGGTGTGATTCTTTCCTTAATTACTGGGATGAGCAAATTATATTTAACAGGCTGTATTCCTAGTCCAGAGTCAGCATATTTATTTATTAGTACCATTTATATAGTGCTTGATATAATAAAATTTCCAAGCTTTGTAAATGATGCCTGATGCTCCTGACAGATTAAAGTCCAATGACCTATAGGGAGTAAAAGAGCTTCCTCCATAAGAGAAGTGTTGTGGAAGGAGAAAAAGTGTCTAGTGTTTGGTTGCAGATCTTTTTCTTATGCTCCCTAACTGAGTTCTTCGTCGTGGCCTCTGTGCATCACACACATGGGTGCTGCGCCTGCGCAGTGCCTAGGCCGGAAAGATTGAAAGCTAACGGTTTTGGAGGGAAAACTCTGCTCCCCTCTCCCCTCGGTAGTATATATAGAGTGGAGTGTCCGCCATTTTCTCCAGTCTTTTGCAACCGCTGTTCGCTGTGCCTCGTGCCTGTTCGTCTCTCGCTCGACTCAGTATTGTTCGTTACTTACCGTTTGTCTTTTTCTTTTTGCTCTTATTCCAAGTTATTGTTCCCTCGTTGCAGTTTATATCTCCTTTTTCTCTTTTCTTCGTTCTTATTTAAAAAAAAACAAAAAATATATTGCTTTTCCCTCTTTCCTTTATTCTATTTCTTCTGTTTCTGTGATGGCGCAGCGATCGGCCTTCCGCAGATGTGTGGAATGTGGGTCCAAAAAGTCTCTGGCGGACCCGCATGACTTGTGCCTCCTTTGCCTTGGCGAGGGGCACAGGACTGATAAATGCCGTCATTGCCTTGCTTTTACTAAGCAAGCGCGAAAAAATAGGGAGAACTGACTGCGGAAGCTCCTATGGGATCAAGCGGTGATGCAATCAAATCAGCCTGCAGTAAAGCCTGGGCCAGCACATGCTCCATCTGCTAAGCGCAAGGCCACAGCCTTGTCTGCGTCGGTTCAACACCCAGCCTCTGCCTCGGGCATGTCCAGGCAACGCCTTCGCCCATGCCGCCTATGCCTCAGCCGCACCCAACGGATGATGGAAATTCCCCCTCGGGGTCTCAGCAACCTCTTTCTCCCCCACGTAAACAACGGGAAAAGAGGAAGCACGGGGGATCGGATCAGTCTTTGGCCCATAAGAAAGCGAAGAAAGATAAGGCGGCCAAACCTCCTCATAAGAAGAGGCACCGGAATTCGGGTTCAACAGCACCATCGATCCCGGCGGCAGCTTTGGTACCAACACCATCAGTACCGATGCTTCAAGTGGCGATGCAGGTTACCCCTCCAGGGTCCCCAGTGCAACCTGCTCCACAACAGGGCCTACCTATCCAACCGCCCGAGGAGCCGCACCGTGAGTCGATATCCGATGGGGAGATTCAGGACTCCCCTCCGAGGGCTCATTCCCCAACTCCTATGCCTACGGCGAGAGCTAGAGAC